CTACTCCGCTATAAGTTCGACTATCTAGAATTCGCCATAAGAGACTATATAGAATTATATATTATAATAATAGTTAGATGAAAGAAAAAACGTCTGACGAATTATTCTTAATCCCTTTTATCATATTTTTTGTACTTACAGATTCCATTATAAGTCTTTACTTCATACGAACGAAAAAATTAATGATACAATCATTAATCATTTCGTGGGAACAGAGGAAATATAATTTCTGATTTAAATAGTTAATCTCTAAAGTAAATAGTTAAATAAGTAAACTACGTTCATATGGGAAATAGTTCTAACGATTTGTTAAATACTATAATTAAGCGAAATATTATAAATACTATAATTAGACACTTTATGAATTTAACCAGAAAACATTAGTACTTATTAATGAACATCGAACGAACGTTTAATATTGTACTTATAAATTAGTATAATTTAAATCAATAAATATTGAATTTATGTAGGATATTTATTATTTCAACGATTTATTCAATAAGTATCTAATAAGAGAGTCGGATTTGCAGATATTTCAATAAAGTAAAATACACGAGAGAAGGGGAATAAAAAAAGAAGAAAGAAAAAGAATAGATACAAAGAGACATGTCAAAATGAAAGGAATAACGCAAAGCAAAGGGGATGGAAGAGAACGTAAAGAGACTAGACGGAGGTAACATGTTCGCGATGTGTATCATGTGTGCTTCGTAATTAGACTCACAAAGCTTTCGGGGAGGTATGTAGGAGGTCACAAATATAGCGCCGCAGACTGGTATGATGAAACGCAGCGTGTAAACCACAAACTGTACTAACGAATTTACCGATTCAGCCAGTGTAAGTCGACCAAATTACGAATCTACGCGTCGACAATGAAGGGAACGAGTTGCAAAAGATTAATGAAAAACATTTACTTCGCCTGGTAAAACCGTCTGAAGAATGGATGCGAAGTGAAAAAAGAGAGAGAGAGAGAGAGAGAGAGAGAGAAGTGAAATAAAACAAAAAAAAAAAAAAAATGTTCCACCGTGATTAATTTCTTTATCGTTTTTTCTTTAAATTTTTTTCTCGTTACTTTTTCTTTCTTTTCTTTTTATAAATAGTATTAAATATCTATCTCTTATAAATTCGTTATATCTAAATAATATAAAGATAAAAAAATTAAATTAATTAATTGTAAGATTTTTGATAACGAATGGTACGATGAACTGCTTACGTCATAAAATAAAACTCTCTGGATGTCACCAGAGTTGTTTTAAATAAACTCCATGTTGCCCGGACAGAACGGTAGCTGCCAGTGACGCGAACTAGCCGTAAGATATAAAAGAGGGATTAACATTTAACGACTTCACCGTTTCACTGGCACCTACACAGACCGAACCGATTTGTGCTAGCGATGTAGTCGTAGTTACGCGTCGAGCGATAGAAGAAAACAGAGATAAAGAAAGAAAGATAAAGAGAAAGAGAGAGAGAGAGAGAGAGAGAGAGAAAGCATCGTTAGCGCGAGCTATCCGAGGGAGAGAAAACGAAGAAAAAACGAAAGAAAGAACAAGAGGAGTACGAGTTGTAATTCATAACATCGTAACCATTTTTTATCGTGACGACATTCGTGAGAAAGGGGAGATGAAAAGAAAGTAAACGCGATGCCGCAATCCATGTAAACGAGAAATTATGAGTGTGGTAAAAAGATAAACTATGGTTAATTGACGAACATACTCGAAATCATCTATATACTCTTTTATCTTTAGGCTTTAAGATCGAATAATAAAAAGGAAAAGGTAATTTAATGAAAATTTGTGAACAAGTTTATTCTGTTGAATATAGAACATTTGAAATAAATATCAATTGATAATTATATATATATATATTGTATATGTAATACATATATATATATATTTCTTATATTATTGAATTATTATTAACGATAATCGATAAAGAAATCACTGGCAAGTATGGAAATATGATAGCTATGATCTCAACCTCGTTACTCTAACGATATTTCTTTTTGAATTTACTAATATAATAGCCACGAAAATCACAAGGCAATATCTTTTTATACGCTACGTCGATTCATATATTTACATAGTAAATCATTAATGCTTAACGAGCGATTCTTATATTACGTAATGTTCTTCTCTTGTTGTTCGAGGATGTACCTACTAGAAGAAGAATCGGATCATTTTACGAGCCGCTCTATCGTTAAAAGCAAACAAGAGATAATAAATAATATAAAATATTCACGATAGGTAGAATATTTGTGAATAACATGAAAAATTATTGCGTATTGAGGATCAGAAATGTCCTCTGGTCATAATAAATCGGTATATGTGTATGCGTATACGTGTACCATATGACAAAGGCAATTTTAGAAAAGATGAAAATATTTAGAATGGGACCGGTCCATTGTACGACCGTATAGATATAATAAAACGGAGATAAATGCCGAACGAGAAAGGACGTAGTTATTCGTACATAAATTAGAAGTGTGAAATAAATACCAGCGGCCCGTTTAATTAAATTTTGTCTCATGATATATGTCCCGGTTATTACACACTGTTACTGCGAAAGCTCTCACGAATAAAATCATCTATTTATATATTTTGCAGAATTTAATGTCTTTGGGAAAAATAAAGTCTCGATTTTGACTTTAACTTCTAACAAACGAAATAGATCGTACTCTTTGATCGTACAATTCATTAAATAATAATTAAAATTAATTTATGTACCTTTTGTTCTGATCAAAGGGACGTCGAAACATCAACGAAAAAATGCGAGGGATAGAAAATTAGTTTAATACTTTTTCCTTGAAATCAGTTAAATTAGATCTAATTTATTAGTATTAATGTAAAAATTACTTCTACCTTTCAGATCCTCGTACGATTAACGATAACTGAAACACCGACAGTGCTTTTTTCTCAAGAGACTACTACGTGTGCGGAGCACATAATTTTCACTATAAACCCAAGTTATAGCGATAATACCCTTGGTACGGAAAAAAAGTATTAAATGAGGCGAAGGTAGACACTTTTGCTCTATCGTAAACGAAACGTCCAAAGAAATCGTCTTTACTCCACTGGTCTCATTTTCCTTTTTTCTCTTTCTCTTCTTCTTCTTTTTCTTTTAATTTAATCGCCATAAATGTTCCTTATTCTCATTCTAATTTTCTTCTGCCCTATATCTTTATTTCAATGTCAATTTGGCCAATCAGAATGTTAAAAATCAATGTATTTGTGAGGTATAGAACCAAATTTTCTTTATTTTCAATTTTTTTACTTAAGACATCGACACGGCCAAATGGAAACTACGAAGTAGTTAATTTTTTTTTTTTTTTTTTTTTTTTTTTTTTTTTTTTTTTTTTTTTTAATAATAATCACTAGGAGATAGAAAAAATAGGGAAAGGGAGAAATAGAAGTTTCGTAGAACTCACAGTTTATGAGGTAGCCGAGAAATCAAGGAATTAAAATGCTAATGCAATATATGAAAGCAACTCGAAGCTTTCAACCAGCTCGAATATGTTAATTTTGTAAAAACTACTCACCACCGAGATCTGCAAAGAAGATTTCGCGGAGTGCTAGAAATTCTTCCTCCGGCGGTATATCAGCCCTTCCAAAGGAGTCGTTCTCCGGCCAGACTTCTCTGTAATATAATTTTGCTACATTTACTCGAGCATCTACTTTTATAAATAAGACGATAAGTGCATGACATTTCGTCTGATTTTATATTAATAAATCTTTATATACGTACTTTTTGATAACATTGAAAATTTCTGAAGATTATCAATAGAAGGAATAATATATTTATTGTAAAGCACGAAGAATATCGTACCCTTTAATTATCCTTCTAAATTATTCGATTTCATAGTCATATATTAATTTGTAACAAATGTCGCCATTTTCTAACCATCGATATTCGGAATGCACCGCGTAGTTAAAATCGTGGCATACCAAGCATATTACCATTCATCGTTATATGCATAAATGCCGTTAATAACAAGCGGTTACCAAATAATTGACTTACTATATGCTCATTCAACGTTCGATTACACTTCATCGCACCTTTTGGTTAAACGGATATGTATAATTGTTCGAATTAGTTTATGATAACTTGCAATCGGTCGTGTATACGTTTCACTCCGCGTAGAAGAATTTCAATATACGCGTTATGTATTAATAATTATAATATATATATATATATATATATATATATATATATATATATAGAAAAAAAAACTGTTTATATAGTATATTATTTAACGACGAAGTCGATGATAAATATATAGCTTACAAAGGTACATGTATGTACTTAGTTTAAACATCATACGTTATCGATAATACAATTATTTGTGTTAATTTGCTACGATCTAATTGCATCTCTAATACACGTCTGATACGTGATTGATAGGGCGTTACATACATTCATTTGAATAAATTACAATGCATTTGGGCGACACGTGCATCTATATACATATACTATATATAGATACAAATATATACATACAACATATACACATATATATATATATATGTGTAAACCTATACCTACATAATTTACGAATGTATCGACTCTGAATATACGTGTTAATACATTGTTATATATTATCAGCGAGGACCAAACTCTGCTATCTAGCGTAAGCATTATTTTTCTTTTCGTACTATAAAAAATATTTATAAAAGATCAATACTTTTTCTTAAGATCCTTCTCTATTTTTTTTTTTATAATTATTGTTAAGCTTTTATTTTTTATTTTTTATTTTTCACAAAAAATTGATCGAACTTGTACGAGAATAAATTTTCAATTTCTTCTTTCTCTCTTATATTCTATGAATACTGAAACTAAATTCTTGATAGTATAATAGAGATCTCATACGTATACGTTATATGTATGTGTGTATATATATATATATATATATATATATATATATATATATATATATATAATCTACGAATACGTGTTCGAAGCAAATACGGAAGAAGAAGATAATCAGGTGGCATGAGTTCTCGCTTAATACGAAGTAGTGGTTAGACGATCAAATAGAGCGTAAGCCATTTAACGCACACGACTTTCGTTATCTTCCGAGCAGAAATGTTTGCCACCCGAAAGTAGGAAATTCGAAGGTTAGAGAAGCCCAGAGCATACGTGAAAGGTCCCGTGAACATTGCCACGATCTACACCAAGGTCCAACTCCTTACGAGTCGAGTGGTTCGCACCCTCCGAGAATCGCACCCTCGGACATTCTCGCATTCCTGATGCTGCTTTAACCCCTCAACTTCTTTTCTTTTCTTTTTTCATCTTGACACTATTCCAGCTTTCATTGACTGTAGTGTTACCTTTCTTTTGATATATTATTTTCACTAAAGTGTCACTTGTTTTGATTAACACCAAAAATATTTGGATTACACGTATAAAAAAAGAAAACCGTTTTTATTTATTTTTTTTTTTTTTTTTCGAAAATAATTATCATAAAAAATCATTTTTCTTTTTTAATCGTCAATAATAATAAGATGTTTATTCGATGATTAGCAATATGATAAAATCTTACTCTGAAATATACAAATAATATTTAATCGCAATTTAAGTGTTAATATTTCAAAATGAGATAGTGAATTAATATCAAGCTTCCGAATGTTTTAAAATTGTAATCGTTAGATAAATAAATAGAGAGAGAAAATTTAACTAAATATTAAGATAGAGAAAACAAGGAGAATAAGAAAGGAGAATCTTTCCTCTTGAAAAAGGAATGCAGTTGCAATTCACCTTACGTGAGCATCTCCTCGAATTTATGGAGAAGCTTGTCGTTCGACACTAAGGCGATCGCTCACATCAAGATTTCATTCCATCTCCTATTCTCTTTTTCTCTCATTTTCTCTTTCTCTCTCTTTTTCTTTTTCTTTTCTATCTGTTTCTTTATTTTCGTATCGAGAAAGAATCGATATACAATAAATATTCAATTTCAAGAAAATCACAACGATTTCGTTAAAAATATTTCAAAGTTATTCGTGAAGGTTATCAAATACAACCTCACCCCAATTCTTTTCACCACAGATAAGAAGAAAGCAATCGATCATTTCTAATAAAAATCAGTAAACGAAAGAAGAGAGATAGAGAGATAGAGAAAGAGGAAAAGAAAGAGAGAGAGAGAGAGAGAGAGAGAGAATGAAGATTGAAAGAGAAAATGAAAAGAAAAGGAAGAGTGGGAGACATTGCAATTCCATAAAAGCTGAGAGAGATGTCGTACCGTTTTAGGAAGCTTCTATTCCTGTGAGAGCGAAGGAACATCGAGAGAAAGGTGAAAGTCTGCGTACGTGACTTGAGGACAAAGGTAAAATCACATCTTGGTAGAAGTCTCTGTAAAAGGGTATAGTTAATGGCGGAGCACTCTTAACCCTGACGCGCTCTCTGCTTGCTAGTGGAGATGGCTCTCCTAGAGAATTTCACTCGGCTTGAATTTTAATAAAAAAAAAAAAAAAAAGGTGTAAAAGAAAGAGAAACTGAGAAAGAGAGATAGAGAAAGAGAGAATGAGAGAGAGAGAGAGAGAGAGAGAGAGAGAAACAGAGAAACTAGGGAAAAAAAAATAGGAAAGAAAAAGGAAAAGGAAAATAATGAAAGATAAGAGACGAGACGAGACGTCTTATACCAAGAAATATACCGAAAGTCGAAATGAAAGCATCGTGGAAAAAGAAAAAAGTCAGAGAGACGTGAATCAAGGATAAAGACGCGACATCAGATTTGCCTCGAGGATACATCCATTTTGTACCAAGGAAAATTCTTACGCTACTGTTACTCTTTCCGCCACGATTTTCCGAGTCTTTATTTTCACAATGTACGAAGCAAGTGAAATAGAAACAAGCGATCTCATCTAATCTTTTACGTATGCACGATAAATATCGTTTGATATCGAATGCAGCGACATTATAATTGAGTCACTGACAATGTAAAAAGAAAAAAAAAAAAGAGAAAAAGTAAAAAATTATTAAAAAAAAAAATTTCATATAAAATGCACAAGTAAATATCTAATAAGCAATATATATATATATATATATATATATATATATATATATATATATATATATATAAGAGAAAAAAAAATTTAATTATCTCGCGAGAAGATACGATTACGATATGTATCAACGAGTTTCGAGCTATCGACTTTAAGGATTTAAGAGGATTGATTCTCGTACAAATTTTGTTCTGAAGAATAAAATCAGACGAACGATTCGTTTCGTTTACATGAGAGGAGACACGTAATCCGTTATATACTGAGCTGTCGCGTGGGTCAGAGAGCCCTACTAGGTACTTGGGGAAGCTTTTAGAAAGTGCGAAATCCCCAGGTCGAGGGTGAATCCAATAAGCGGACATTGCGAAGCTTCCGCAGGTGGCGAGTAGGAGAAGGTACCGGTAGAGGTGAAGATGGTACTAGTGATGGAAGTTATGGTGGTATAGGATGAAACGTAAGGGAGAAAAGAGGAACACAAGAGTGAGGACACATTCTCCGTGGTTGAAGAAGTGGCTCGTATAGCGAGCTTCTGCTGGTGGCTTTCTGAATAGAAATCCACCACCATACAATCCCCATTATCCTTCGATTTGAAGTTTCACGACAAAGGAATCTCTCTCTTTCTCTTTCTTTCTCTTTCTCTCTCTCAGTAAAGGCGCTATTCTAAAACGCCAACGCCACTGATTTTGCATGGAATCGAACGAATAATTTTGGTATTGCCCGTGGCTGACAGCACGTGAAAGTCCACTCCTCTATTATTATCTATTTTACGCATCAACGTAATCGATAGAACAGAGCGAACAAATCGAGAATAACGATTGATGATGAAGAAACGATTAAAACATTTCAAGATAGGAATTAGTATGAAATTTGCATATTAAATTTACATATTCTTAAAGAATCAAATCTATTTTATTAACGAAGAATATCTTATATTTAAATCGTACTTCGTAATTTTTTATTAGCCGTAATATGAGTATGTAAATACGAGATAGGTAATATAAATATAGAAAATATTTCTATAATTGGAAATTCAAACGTTAGAGAAAAACGTGGATAGATATTAAACCTATGCGAAATATATTTGATATTCGTTTTTTCTCATTCGTTTCATCAGTTCATCGAACGAACAGGATATCCGAGGATTTGTATATTTGTTCTTGAATATCCTGTAGGGGAGAGAACGTCTGGAATGAATATATGTTATGTTGTATGTATATGTACAATTGTATGTGTATATCGATTGCCGTAATATTCATGTAACATTGTGAATGTGTTATTAATATTGCCCGCGCCTTACTCCGATTACAGAAGGGTCGGTCAACAGACTGTCATTTCCTTTTATCCTACTATGTGCACAAGGTCGCCATGGATCGTCTCTTTCCCATTATATACTAGCAGCGCTAAATCTTATCTCTCATAAACTGGACAAGAGAATATTGCAAAGGATCTCTTCGAGCGATATAGCAACGATCTTAGATGGAACAAATTGCATGGTGAAGTATAAAAGGATAGTACTTTCGAAACATGTTATGACATATAATGTCATCGAAAAAGAACATTCGTCGCATTATAAAAAAAAAAAAAGAAAAAAAAAAAAAAAAAAAAAAAAAAAAAAAAAAAAAAAAAAAAAAGGAAGAAAGAAAAGAAAAAAAATCAAAAAAGAAAAAAAAAAGAAAAATTTATCATACGAGGTTAAAAACTAACAACTTCATGTCAAACTTTCGATACGACATAAGTACCTCCAACTTGACCTGTTCTTCCAAAACCATTTCGTTAGAAAATTATTATTCCATCAGAAATGGTTCTTCAGTATAAAACGAAACCATGAGATGAAGGTACCAAAAGGATAGTTCCGGGAAGTATAACCGTGCTTCAATTCAGGAGCTGTTTCGATAGTAGCTTCCCTATTCTACACTCGGTATCTACAAAGTAACTTAGTTGTTGTTCCATCAGACGAGTTACTTTTCTACAAAACGAAACCACGATGTTAGAATAGTTTCTCAAGTATGACGATGGGGTCATATTCGAGAGTCGATCCAATACAGACAGGCCTATTCCACGTAAGGGAATTTATTTTTCCGAAGATAGGAAAGAAATAAAAGTTATGATAAAATAAAATAAGTCTCTAAAGATAAAGAGAAATTAACATCGGTATAAATCAATAGTACGGAACAAAAGAAACTCTTTCTGTTCGTTGACGATTTCGTCCGCAAAGAATAGCTTTCACGAGACAGTCGGAACGACGATTAAGCTTTCGAGGTGGAAGGGTAACCGAGGTGGAAGATAGAAACAAGTTGGCGAAGGGACACACGGGCGCATTTGTAGACGGAGAACTTCAAAGACCTGGATGGGTACCACCAATTCACCTCGATGAACCGCCGTATACTCTCGCGTTACAAGAGCCGTGCATCCCTTTAAGATTTAATGTAATGTAAATATCTGTGGCAGTGTAAACGCTCGACTGTTCGTTGCTTAATTGCCCGGGTGATCGAAAAGAGCGAACGTTGAGAGAGTCTGAAGGGTTCGATAAAACAAGCGAAAGGATAGAGAAAGAAAAAAAGAGAGAGGGAGAGAGAGAGAGAGAGAGAGAGAGAGACAGAGAGAGAGAGAAAATAACAGAGAGGAAGAAAGAAAAAGATAAAGAGAGAAAATTGACGAATAATTCGGTCTAGATATTAGGATTAAATAATCATGATAGTTTGAACGTAAATTTATCTCTTTTGGACGTGAAACATTATGTTAACAAGGCGAAGATAATTTCACTTATTATATCGTTCGATGTAAGAATTATGATTTAACGAAAAAAAAATACGATTTTAGTGCACTGCCACATTCAAAAGGCTATGCAAATACTTTCGCTTATTTTATGCATTCGCCTAATGTACTTGAAAAAGGTGAGAGAAAGGTAGAGGGACAGCCTTGAAAAATAAGATTATGTTAGCTGAGGAGTCCATGTAAATTTTGCTACGAACTTCATGCAAATCAGGTGCCTAAACTTTGGAGGGGAGAAGAAAAAGGAAAAGAAAAGGAAGAAAAAAAAAAAAAAAAAAATGAAAAAGAAAAAAGATTCGAAGGGAGATTATATTCCGCGCGAGGCTTCGCACATAAATAACCCGATAAAGAGTTTCGCGTCTCTCGTTCGCTTTTGTTCTCTTCTTTCTCATTCTCTTTGTCCCCCCTAAACCTTCGATTCGCGAGAGATTTTTGAGGCTGCGTTTACGCCGGTATTAAAAACTATTCGGGAGTCCGGGCAAAGAAGAAAAGCTTAAATGGAGGAAGCACAAAAGGCTTTGGCGTGAATTTATTCGAGCACGGTCGTCGCCCTAGCTGCGTTTCAAACGGCGGTCAAAAATTCATCGGTTGTACAAGAATAAATCCCAACTTTTCGTTCACTTTCTAACCCCATTACACCGAAGTCCATTGTTTGTTAAAACAAAGCATCCACGAGGTCGGCTTCCCCGCAACATCGAGGTTACTCCGAGCCATCTACCGTCGCAGTATATTGTGCTTTGCTGAAAAAAGACGAGGGTTTCTAACAAAGAAAAAGGTAGTGGGCTTTTTCCTGAATACATTAGAAGACAAGTCGCGCCTCGCGTCACCACGTGAATTCACGATTATATGCTCTAATTGGTCTGACGTTACTCTCAGATGACGGAGAACCTCTTTTATCGTAAACCCCAGAAGGCAAGAATTCGTATGAAAAAAATTCCATAAAACGCGTGCGAAAAATTCCAATTGTCCACAGAAAACATTAAGTACGAAGATTTTATAATAAATGAATTTTTTTTTTTGTTTTTTTCTTTTGTTTTTTTTTTTTTTTTTTTTTTTTTTTTTTTTATATTAAAAGTAAACATTTTAACGGCATTGTTGTATTGTCATCATAGCTTATATAATTATAAGCATATAACATTTGAAAATATTAAAACAAAAAAAAATCCTTACCGGCAAGCTCGCAAAAGTCCAACAGCATTCTCAAAGTGCTTCAATCGTAATAGTTTTTGTATTTTCTTCATTGCATCACTCCTAGAAACAAGTTCGATAGTTTTCCCATAAAATTAAACGAAAAAGGATTTCTTTTACAGTCGTCGAATAAGAATTAAAATATCGTTGTAAGATAATTAAGAAAAAAGTGGATATACTTTTGATCGTCGACAGGTGTATCAAGTGTTGCATCAAATGGCATCATTTCCGGCATTGAGCCTCCATCTTGCATCACCACAGATAATTCCGGTGCCAGATCGTCCCAACGATCTTCTAAGCTCGGGTTAGGCGCTTCTTCTTTCCGCGATACAGCTAGAAAAGTTTGAAAGAAAATATTAAAGAGAAAAATAAACGAGAGAACGACTTTAACCGGCACAAACTCTGTACAAATTCTCTACATCTTACATTTCTGCTTTCTACTTTTGTGTCGCTTCTTCTTCAACTTCTGCACGATGAGACTTCGTTGTCCCTTGGCGCAAAACTGTTCCAACATCTTTAGAAAAATGTGGGTGGTCGTTACTAGGTCGATCAGGTATTTCCTGCAAACGCGAGATTAAACAACTTATTTCTTGAGATTCTCCTTGGGATTTTGCGTTACCGAGATAACGAGATCTTTTGCAAGCTGACACAATGCTAAATAAGATGTCTCGCAGGTAACCTAGTTCTTGCGATTCACATCCTTAAAACGGAATTCTCGTCTTACGTTTAAAGAAGTGGAAATGGTACTTGTACAATAATGATCGCACTGTATATGCGCTTGACATAAAGAAATAAAATGACTAAAATAGATAATTGAACGAAGAAAAGACAAAGCTGATGATTCGATAAATTCTCGAAATCATTTCGATGTTCATTTTAAAGAAAACTTCTCGAATGGTATATACTGCGAGTAGTTTTATTAGATATAGAATATCGGTGAGTCTTTGAGACAATGAGCATAAACAACACGGGCAAACAATGCGACAACAATGTTAGCCGTCAAGAGTGGCAACAGTAACGGTTAATTTATCAATTTATACTCTAACGGGGTGCTGCCGGGAAAGTTTGACAGAGTCTTCGGAACTATGTTTTCCTCAGCATCGTCGAGACGTCAAAGCGACGAGACGATATCGCGGTGGTACACCGCGGCGCCCTTACATTTCCGTCGTGGAAATCCCAGGAAAAGCCGTCAAACTCATAGCAACTTGAACACCCACCGCCTTTCCCCATTTCGCTTGGCCGGAAGGTCGATAAAAGTTGTTTATTCCGGCAAGAAACGAAGAAAAAGTGGGAAGAGAAGAGCTATTCGGTAGAGAAGAGAAAGGATAGGGGATGAGAATCGGTGAAAAGGAGAAAAGAAATAGCCAAAAAAGGATAGAGTTGCGTTAGTAGAAGTGGATGGAAAAAAAAAAGAAAAAAGAAAAAAAGAAAAGAGGATGAAGAGGCAGGCATGGCAAAGAAGTCGATCGATTGATCTGAAAGTGAATCAATCTGTCTGCGATAGATAAAACTTTCGGTAAACAGTTCTTCTTTTTTTCTTTTTCTTTTTTCTTTTTTTTTTCGTTCGACAATACCAGGCAACCAGGCAAATCGATAAGAGTCGGCTCGATGTCGAGAGACACGAACAAGATAAGTATGCCGACGGACGTAACGCCTTTCGCGTAAAATCGAGAACAGGCAAGAAGCGAGAGATTCGTTGAAAATCAAAGAGAAAATATATTTAAGTTTGGAGAACTCGACGGGCCAAGTACTCGTCGTTCGCTCCCCCGCGTTTCTCAAACTTTTCAATCTCGTTACTGTCTCAGAACTTGGCAGACCATTTGAAACTTATTAATTACTTCTGCCAAGTTTTTACTGTCGCGTAATTTTAATTACGGAACGTAAGCTCTAAGACCGACTAATGACGCTGAGTCGTTTGGTTACCAGCGCTTCGTTTTTACTCCTCCCTGATCGATCAAACGTTATAATACGACTGCGTATATTATTTTAACGATGTAAATGTTATTCAAATTATCGCACTGACGTTGTAAACACGATACAAGAATAATTCTTTACTAACCGTGACATTTTACGTTCATCGAAGTTGAGAAGCTGAGAGAGTATCGTTTCCCGATATTCCGGGACATAAAACACGTTGCTTTTAATGACCTTACTAGATTCTCTTATATCTTGATCCGGACTTTTATCCATCGCCATTAAGGTATGAAGGAGTTCCTAAAATATTATACGTCATTTCAACAATTCCATCGATCATTCCTTCCCTCATATACTTTCCTCACCTTATATGCTTTCAAAGCCAAATGCAATCTGTGAGACCATATCGGTATCCTCACCTTATCGGTAACGATCATCTCATAATACTGATTCATTTGTCTTTGTATTATATAAAATATTTCCGTGGATATCGTTTCGCTATGAAAAAAAAAAAAAGAAAAAGTCAAATAAAATCATATTCTATCCGTCATAGATTTATTCATAAAAAAAAAAAAGATAAAATAAGAAAAAAAAAAAATAACATATTTTCGAGTCACGAAAAGTCTTTTTTTTTTTTTTTCGAAAAAAAAAAAAAAGAAAAAACAAACGAAAGTGAATTTGCACGTACACACAAATTGATCGCATATGAAACCTCTGACAAACTTTAAGCTTCAAAGCGCACACTGCTTAAATCGAAAATAAGATGAGTTAAAGAGAATGATAGATAGATAGATAAAAAGAACGAGAGAGACAGAGAGAGAGAGTGTATGTGTGTGTATGTGTAAATACATATGGGTACGTATATACAGTCACGAGAACTGAGAACTAGAAAGTGCACTTCGTACAGACGCATCCAAAAAAGCGACGATGCGTAAAACGAGTTCGGAAACTCGTTCTCCCACCGTTTATATCGAACAGCAGCTACTCCGCAACGAACGAGAGGGATATCCGTGACCTTCGGTTTACCGAAAATAAAGTCATCTACTTCCTCTCTCTTTCTCTCTTTCTCTCTCTCTCTCTCTCTCTCTCTCTCTCTCTCTCTCTCTCTTATTTACTCGTTAATGCACCTTCAACTTACCTCACATATTTTACTTGAAACTTGTAACATCGATTAAATTCCATAAAAAAACGTAATGCCCAGAGATAACAACTGCTCTCCGGTGAATCACATTGAACGTCACTGATAACGCAGGACTTCGTGTGTTTCATTACTGGATTGTATACACCATTAAGAAATTCCACGCAAAATTCTTTCAAAAAAAGTCTTACGCTTAATGCTGATCTTCGTTCGTTCATTGAATCCCGCATCGCCAATTTGTTCTTCGGTTTCTTTACTTTCGTCTGTTGAAAATAAAAAATTCGTAAGTTCATTTCGAAATTCCAACGTTTCGAAGAAGGATCGTAAAGAAAATTTGCGAAGCACGTAGAAATGTGATGTAATGTATATAAAAAGAAGTAAATGGCATCGTTCTGTCGTAATGGCATGATCTAAGCACGTTAAAAAGAGGAGAAAAAGACCGAGCGAAGTGGATGTAAGAAGAGTGTAAAAGTCCTGCATAATAGGTCTTACCGGCACCTAGCTAGAATGATGCTTTCAAACACCCATGAACTAACCCATGGACGTGAGCTACGAGCAAATTTATGACGGTACATAATGAAAACGTGGCACGTGGATACCAGGAAAAGTTTTGCTGTTCTCGAAGACTCGGAGATAGGATAGAAGAGGGGTAATAGTAACGTGAGAGAAAGTGAGAAAGAGAGAGAGAGAAAGAGAGAGAGAGAGAGAGAGAGAAAGAAAAGGATAGCACTTCGCGCAGTAAAAGAGGGTAGAGACGCAATCTAAACGCAAGAGGATGGAGACAGAAGAAGCCGAGTTTTAAGGAGGGTAAGAGAGAAGAACAGCTGACCCACTTTTAAATGCTTCAAAGTGCCATTAAGAATAGGCCGAACTCTAATTACGCAAGGATAACTCTAATTAACAAGCGTATTTTCATTCGAATCCGAACGAGCTCTTCTCACTTACTCCGTTAATGAAAACTAACGCGAAAAGCCACCTGCCTAATTGAATAAGCCATTTTCTTTACGCGATTTCATTACCTCTGACTTTTTCTATCCCTTTATTATATTTTCTTTTCTTTTTTCCTTTTATACGAGATAAGTTTTATAGTCGAACAAAAGGAAGAACAAAAAAAAAAAAAAAAAAAAAAAAGAAAGAAAAACAAAAAAAAGAAAAACAAAAAAAAGAAAAAAAAAAAAGAAAAAAAGCACAAACACACACATAGAAAAAGCATCGATCTGTAACATTTCTAAAACACGTATAATGGCTTGCATTTCTTCTTACCTTTTGGGAATTGAACTCGAGTGCCTCGACTTTTTCATAAGGTTTGTGACATAACATTTGATTATCTCCGATTGCCTTCATATTTTGTACCACGTAAGTACCGCCAAAACGTGAATGCCTGGGAAAAATGTTCAAATAACATAAATATTCTAAATTTTAAATGTGTGTGTGTGTGTGTGTGTATGTATTTACGTTATTTCATGAAAATTTACGAGCACGATATGAAACGATAAAAGTATCAAAACGTATTGTTACTTTTTATCGATGTGAAAAGTATATATTATTTATGCTTGTACAAAATGTCATTCCATAGAAAAGGCTCATATAGAAAAGGCAGGAATAAATGGATACATTTGAGGTAAGAACTTCTCCGAGAAGAGACAGAGTGGATACGGCAACTTTCAATCTCTGATTGAAGATAGAACCCAGTACTCGATTCCAAGTTCCTAAGTAAAAGAGAGCTTATCATTCAAATCCAATTTTATCCATAACTCCTGAAAATCCAATCAATGGAATAGAAGACGGCTGTCATCGGCAGATAGTTTCTTAAATGACGAAGGCAGCCTCCTTCACTTTCTCCTATTTCGCGGCTCTCTTTCTTTCTCTCATTCCCTCCCTGTTAACTTCTCGCACTCAATTCCTCTTTCCTTTTTCCTTTACAACTACCCCCCTTTCCCCCTTCCCATACTCTATCTACGAATTCATTTACACGGTATTTCTACCCGTACCATTTTCCAATCGTCGATTAAATTTTTCAAACTACAATATGCGGAAAGATTGATGCTGAATTTGGACCATTCGTGATATTAAACCAGGCCATTCGAGAAATTCATTGTTCGAAAGTAAATAATTGAGAAAACAAAATGAAAATTTTTTTTCGTCAAAAAATATATGTGAATAATAATTTACAAGTAATATTAATTTACAAGTACTTTTAGTGAACGAGTATGTACTGTGTTAACATTAAAATATATTTAACAAATAAATAGAAAATAATATTGAAAAAAAGAAAAAAAAAGAAAAAGAAAAAGAAGATATAGAATCACCATATATCTTAGAATTCGACTTATCCATACATCGATCCCATTTGCGCGTCGTACAGTCGACTTTTACCCCCTTAACCCCGAAGACTCACGAAACAAGAGTAAAAAAAAAAAAGAAGGAACTCCAGGATGGGCTTGCGTCTCGATTCTGCTGCTCCTGACTCGTAGCTCGGTCGCTTTATCGTTTTCCGATCGACTTATCCCAACCTTCGACCATGGGAAAGGGGAGAAAGATAAAATAAAAAGAAAAGAAGAAGCGAATTTTTTTCACCCAACCCCCATTTCCTTTCAAGTCGCAAAAAGCATTTCGCGTTGAGCACACGGCCTTGCGAGAATGGAAGAAAGCAAGAGAGTGAGAAATGTATATATGTGTATGTGTATGTAGCTGTGTGTGTGTATGAGAGGGTGGCCTGAACGAAGAAGGAGCTCGTTACTAGAATACAGCTCGCTTCTTCCCAACAAGTGGATAAAAGCCTTCTATTCGCGCGCGTTCAAACCCGGCAGTCCTATCTTAAAAACTAGGTCATATTCATTACAACATATGCGTCGTCATCGTCGTCGTCGCCATAGTGTGAGAGAAGCAACACTAGCCGGAGCAACATGAGTAAGAGAACGATCGCGATTCAACCTAAAAGATATCCGGTGTTGAGTAGCGTAGTCATCAGAAAGTCAGCCTCTACATGCTTTTCTCACATAGCATTTATACCTTCTCGGCACTTATACTCGTTGGAACTCGACCGTTAAAATGAAAACAACTTATGAGAGAACATTCAAACTTCTGAATCGGGATTTTTACAAAATCGTGTTTTAAATGAAATCGACAGTCGAATAATATGATACATATGAAATAATTTAATATAGTCGAATATAATATTAGATGTTTTCTAAACAAATTCCTTTTTTTTTCTTTTAATTCGATTTGAAAAGTTAATTATCATTTTACTTTCATATTAATGGTTTTAAATCGAAAAAAAAGAACTTCTTTCTTTTATTTCATTGAGTTCCAGCAGAAATTAAAACTAAACTCGATTAGACATCACAATTCCAATTTCAAGGCAATTTTCTGAAAAAAAAAAAAAAAAAAAAAAAAAAGAAAGGACTACAACAGTGCTGGCTAGAAACGCTTAATATTTTATAGTCTTTGTATATTCAATTCCTTATTTCATTTGAAAATGTTTTCAAATGTAAAAATCTCAGATTCATAAGTCTGAATGTCCCCTTGTCAGAGCCAGAAGCGGTAGAATGCGCATAGTGCAGTTCAACATGTCGAGTCTGGAATCTTCTCGGTTTAATACATCACCGTTTCGTGCTCGCACACACGATGGAATGAATGAAATGAATTGACGAAAAAAACGTGACACCCTATATCGGTATCTATAAAAAATGAATCGCCATGAAAGAAAATACATCGTGTAAAGATTTTTAAGAAACGCGACGTTAAATGTATTGAAAGTACAGAATGATTTAATAATCTCGACTTGATATTTTAATATAACGTGTTGATAAAAAAAAAAAAGAAAAGAAAAAAAAAATAACAACAAGAATAAGAATTTCAGAATTATGAATAGGAACGAGAAATCGGATTACGTACAATTTAGAGCATAAAATTAGAGAATCGCCGCGAGATTTGTAAAAAAGATATTCCTTGACGATTTCGAGTGTCATTCAAGGAAAAATTAAGGAATCATAAGAAAACGAGAGGATTTTGTTTAAATTAATATGACATGAATTTAATAGCGAGCTTGGAGCTTTTTATTGCATGCAGAATTCTGAAAGGTTCGCTTGAAAAGCTTTAAGAAGATGGGAGATATGAAAGCGATAAAAATCTGACCCAAATAAGAAGATAAGATCTACGAAGGTGTGATCTTAAAATTTTATTCATACGGTTATATGTTTTTCCATGTTATGTTGTTAATTATAAGTTTATAAATAAATGGGTCACGAGTGAACTAAGAACTCCACTCAAAGTCGAATTCTCACATTTCTAAGCAGTCTAAGACACTATCTTATTTTTTTTGTAACATTTTATAATGTTTATATAATAATTAACCTTACCTAGCACCAGCGTACTTCTTTAATTTTTCAAATTTTTCCAATCTTTCTTTCTGTCGTATAGATAGTAATTGTGCTTCATCCTTTTCCTTTTCTATTGTACTACGCTGCAAACCTGCTGATGCCAATTGACTTGCACTTTGATCACGTAACATTAATGATATGATCTATAAAAGTATATATTAAATATCAGAATACAATTTTATAATTTTAATATTTTGGTCTGAAGTTTATAATGTATACCTCTAAAATTTGCATATGATATTGTTGTTCTTTAGCACTACTTGCAATAAAGAGTAATATGTCTACAATACCAGATGCATGAAGTGCGAATAATACCTGTAAATAACAAATATCTTGTAAAATAACTCCTTCAATTATAATAAAAAAAAAAAAAACAATATAATCAAATAAGTTACCTGATCATGAACCGTAGCATCATTATCAGGACGCTTTTCATTTTCATCAGGAGGAATTTGAAGTATATTTCTGATTAATGCTAAAATTCTTTCAACAATCATTTCATTCTCTTCCCCTCTTTCCATATTATCCTATCATAATAATTAAATTTTTAAAAGAACTTATTCTAAATGAATATTTTCTAGTGATAGCTTCAAAATTAAAACTTACAATACTAAAGATTGAGGTCAAGCGATTATTAACTATTGTCCATACTTGATCATCTGCTAAAGCCACTTTATAACTTTGCAGATGTGATATTATTTGTAAATAGAAACTACGCATAGTCTTCTCCATAGGTATTTGTTCATTATAAATTAATAAAGCAGGACTTGTTAAATTAATAATTAACCTAATAAATATGAAGTTTACATACAAATATTATATACATATAATTATGCTTGTTATTTAAACCTATATATCAAAACTTGCCTTAATAACACATCCCATAATTCAAGTTTATCAAAGTGTTGTATAAAAATTCTTATGAGATCAGATTGAAGTAATTTTGCCTGGCCAAGATAACGACGTATGGTATGAACATCGTCATCCCTTTTTAAGTATTTTATCAAATCCTTTATAACATCTATAACATATTAAAAATAAGATCTCCATCATGTCATCATTATTAACTTATATCTAACCAGCTCACCTAGACAATGTTTATCCAAATAATACTTTTTTCCATCGTAATAGCCCAATGCAGCACAAGTGGCTGCTAATTCAGCAGATATATAATCTGCCATTATTGCATTAGAATGTTTTTAAACCAACTGCAGCAAGTAATATTAATAGAATGATCATCCAGCTAAATATATTTTAAAAAATGGTTATTACAATCAAATCTAAATAAATTAGATTCAAGAAGAATATGTATAATGTTTATGAGGATAAAAGTTTACTTTATCAGATCTTTTTTTTATTTACTATATATTTTTTACATACTTGCTATACCTTGAAATATGAATATTCCGGTTTTAGAGGTTAGAAACTCCAAAATAGTGCACGTTGTAGGAAAAAATTCTAACAATGAACTATTTTTATTAAACGAAAACACTGCTGTATATCAATAAACAACAAAATAACTATTTAATCATTAAAATAACACTTAAATAACTTTGTTACAATATTATACTTATGCGATACATATATTCAAAGCAACAGGTGAAAAAGCGCGCGAAAATTTACTGCAGCGCGCGATCGAGTAACAAAGAGTAGCCAATCAGAAAGCGAATAACAAATGAATCTTTGAAAACAAAATATGAACACTGCATAATAAATGTTCTTTCTTTTTTTTTTTTTTAATTTTTAATTGGAAAACGCCATTGTCTGCTAATTATTAAATTTCTTATTCGCATTAAATGATGAATTAAAAAATTCAAGGAATATTTTCAAAATTAACTTTTAACCTGATTCAATCAATTGAAAATATAACAGTTATATAAGCTCTCTCTCTCTCTCTCTCTCTCTCTCTCTCTCTCTCTCTTCTCTTTCTCTCTCAGTTATTTAGAATTTAGATATGTCTTTTTCGTTGAATTTAGATATTCCTATTCGTTTCTGTTAAATCTCGTTCAGAAAAGAGAAGTAGGTTAAACAAGGAAGGTAATGAAAATCGATATTTCAATCGATAGGAAAGTTCTTCGAAGCGAATACAAACGTGAATGCAATCATGGCATTACTTTTTGATCGATCGATCCGTGAGATTTCGTATTCCGAACTAATGCAGGAAGCAAAAGTTTCAAAACGATAAAAATAAGTTCTCTATCATTCCAATAATGGTTTCATTAAACCTTCCCTTTTTTTCGTAAATTTATTAAGTAAATGTCTTAATGAATTAATAAACGTTTCTCTCGCGAATCAACAAGGTTAAGTTCAAAATAATTAAACATGAACGGATCTAATCCTTTCAATGAAATTCATTTATCAATGTCGACGAAAAGTATACTACGTTAAATGTAATAATATACGCAAATAAAAATAACAAATAACTTTACATTCGTTTTGTAATAATATATACACACGTATATATATATATATATATATATGATAAATCGCGAGTTTGATAATCTTACAAAGAATAATAGTCATACGAAACTACGTACATCGGCTTTTGGTTTGGAGAGAGTTATCGAAAGACTTTTAGCGTATAATTTATAGCAGTTTTAAAACACCTTAGTTTATACGCCATGTGTCAGAGAAAAAAGTGAACTTTATATACGAGCAAGCTAGGGAAAAAAAAAATCAATTTTTATGATATAAAACTCAAGTTTTTCACTATGACCGTTTGATTTCTTTTTATATAAACTTTTTAAATGCAACATTTCAGTGATACATATCATGGAAAGAATAAGGATATATAAATGATTTGAGAAGGATTAATATCTTTCTTTAAGTTTTACGTGTATTATAGTGATTTGATATCGTTCGTCCACCATCCAATAAATCTCTAGAGAAATAGACAGGAAAAGCATGACTCTCTTGTGGATACAAGACTAAAAGTTATTGTCGCATTGTAACTTTGAATTCGTGCAAAGCTTGCACTAGTAGAATTACCAGTGAATCGATTTGCACGAATGCATCGACCATTCATCCATAAAAATTTATTCTTCCAATTACGGAATATAAATGGGATTTACATGTATGCATTGAATGTCACAAACCCAATGTTGGTTTTTCTATTGTTGCATATGCCAAAGATATTTTATTAAATTTATTTATACAAAGAATGAAATATAAAATAACATTTTCAATTACTTATTATTTATATAATAATATCTAAAATTTTATTATATATAAATATTATATATGTACATATATATATATATATATATATATATATATATGCGTAATAAAATCATACAAGCACTTTGACTTTTCACAAATGAACTTTCATCATACTAATGTTTATTTAATGTAATATAACCAGTAGAACTTTGGTTACTTCGGATAATATCAACAAGAACCATACATTCTCTCTGTCTCGTATACTCTCTACAATGATCGATACCTAAGAAGTTCTCATCGATTATTATCAAAACTACTACTAGGAGGTCGAAACTTGTCAGCATATAACGTGTAGCTTTCAACTAATAAATGCAGCAGCAGCCCAGGAAGAAAGTTACAATTTATTTTCCTCCATCGAGAAGTCAAGAATATCTCAATGAAAAATCTAAAGAGATTCATCCCTCATCTCTTCGTATCTCTTCTTCTCTCATCTTTTCCTTACTTATACTGTCCTCGATTGCGAATTTGTTTCGTCAAGCGAGGACGTGCCCATCAAAGAGGACGCTTTTTCTATCGTTTTTTTTCTTCTTTCTTTTTTTTTTCTTTCTTTTTTTTTCATCTCCCCGTCTAGTCAACATGAAAGAGAGGAGGAGGGGGGATCAAGGATCTCTATTATTTCGCTATAATACAAGTCTACGTCTTCGATGAGCAATCTGCTTGAGTAGACATTGTCCACAAAAGAGGAAAATAAAGCCATAAATCCAATTCCGTCGTAAGGAAAAAAGATCGATGAGAAAAGTCAGGAGTGCGATAAACGAAGAAAAGAAGTTACAAACGGTAAAGGGAAAAAGGGATGTAGAAATAGAGATATAGAGAAACATAAAATGAGAGAAAGAGAGAGAGAGAGAGAGAGAGAGAGAGAGAAAAGGATGGCGAATAGTAGAGGGCGAACGATGCGAGAAATCGAAAACAATGGTCATGGCAGAACCGCGAGAAGGACGATGAAGCTGGTGTCCGAGAGTAGTGTAGGACAAACAAGCGATGACCAATCAATATCAACGAGAGTATATATATGTATATCTAGGTCATTGGGTTATCCGATGAAATCGTTGGCACCTGTTCGCTGATTTAACTCGTCCCATACGTCCATGTAGTTTTTTATTCTTCTCCATTTTTTTCTCACCTTTTGCGCGTTTCCTATCACACACGAAACGAACGAGAACACATTACATATATTATTTTCGTTAGAACAAATTTATAAATCTATACGGTGACTCGTAACATATAATCGTAATTTATTCTTGTAAATTAATTAAATTTCTTAAATTGCCTTTATCATACCTCACTTATTAAAGTTCGACGTATCTATAGTAATTACGAACGATTTTAAAGAAGGAAGAAAATAAAAGAAAAAAGAAACAAAATAACCTTCCAACGATATCGATGATTTATTTCTGAACACCCTGTATACTTTCTCGATCGTTTCCTAACAACGTATGACCGCGCGTAATCGTCTACACAGAGCGCATACGAGTGCACCCCAGCGAATTTCACAGACCGAGAAAAATCATAGCGAATTTCCTGCGGTGAGACGACCGAATCGATTGCGCCGACCTCGTGAAAGTAATTTCTGTTCTCTGCTCTCTTCTCCCTTTCTTTATCCCTTATTCTTCTTTTTTCTTCTTTTTCCTTTTCTCTCTCTCTCTCTCTCTCTCTCTTTATTGTTTCTTTTTTCATCCGTGGAATTTGATAATATATGAGATAGATTTTTTATTTTTTTTTTCTGGCCCCACGAAATGACTTTTCACGTTCGTACGAACGTAATTGTGAATTATTAATATATATATATATATATATATATATATATATATATATATGTTACGTATCGAAAATTTATTAAGATTCATATCTAATGAGAATTTTATATAATAATCGATCGACTCATTCATCATCTTTGTCGTCTTTTAATGGTCAATAACGTCATATTCACCATGAAGAATCAGCATACGTCAAACCAACCGGTTATTATTTGTGCGAGATAATTAGAGATAACAGGCGTGTTTGCGGTTCATAGTTCAAATACGCATGCCGATCCTGATGTTTGAATTTATACGAGCGCATGTACGTTCATATACAGAGAGAAAGCAAGTTTCCGAGATGAGTAACGGGAATATGAAGAAGAAACAAAAAGATAGAAAATAAAAAAAAAAAAAAAGAAACATTGAATGAATGAATGAATATATTATACTATTTGATTGTAAATTAATCATTCAATTTTTTTTTATCTATTTCAGAGTGTTATTCATTTTAATGAAAAATTCTATTTTAATTAATTTTAACAAATTTTCTAAATAGCGTTTAATTGAAATTCGAATGAAATATTTATCAGCGTAAATTTACAATAACAATGTATATATATACGCAAGTGGCCAGTATAACAATCGCAATAAATAATGACGAATTATGAAAATATACATTTAAAACAATCATGTTCTTAATAAGAAGAAATTATGACAAAAAAGAATATATATATTTTATAATTAAAGCATAGAATAGCCTTCTTAAGGATAATTTAATATATTTTTAAATATTACATATAACATTATTTGCTTCGAATGAATGAATTATTTCAACTATTCCACCGTAACATTACCAATTTATTTACCTCAAATCCAATTTATTTTTCTCTTTGACATTAAAATAATTTATATTAACAACAGGACGATACAAAATATGCTAGTATATTAAATTTGCAGATAATTCATTCTAATTCTCCTTGATTTCTCTATCTTACCATTCGCTAATGAGCGCATTGGAATCTTAAACTTAGTGTTTGCACTTAAGCGATTAAATAAAATTAAAACTAATGAGATCTCTAAGAGAAGTAGAGACAGTGTTGTATACCCATCGAGATTTTCTTATTTGTTTGCATTTCTTAAACTATCCAAAGAGGATTACCAAAGAACGTAATCTTCTAACCAAGTTTTTTTTTTTTGCGACTATGTTGAAAGCATTGCGATGTTTATTATTATTTTTTTTTTTTATACAAATAAACATGCGTTATAATTTAATTTAAAAACTTTACAGTGGCTAATTGCGATCTTTGAGAAGAAAAAACTAACATAAACGAAACGAATCGGATTTCTCGTGAGTCTTCAACTCGTTCTCTTTTATGATAACAGAATAGAATGTACATGTTCCGAACGTAAATGATTCCACGTGTTACTTTATTTTGTTAACGGAAAACTGTTGTTTCTCTCTCTCTCTCTCTCTCTCTCTCTCTCTCTCTCTCTCTCTCACATATACACACAAACACACATACACACAATCACGCACGTGCATATATACATACTTTCAGTATTTCGAGTTAAGTTCACAGCTAAATGTTGTGTGCATAATCTAGCCGTTAACTAGCTAATTCAGTTAAGTTTCGTAAGTTTCGCCGCGCGTAAACATAA